CGTTGTTGGTTTTCAACTCTTGGAACCTATGTGAGAACTCGTGTATGACTCCTCGTGGCGACTCGAGCACAATGCCGGCTCCCGCTCCACTCTTCCCGGCGGCTCCATCCACGAACAACCGCCACGTTTCGCTCTGCCCCTCCTCCGTCGAGGAGTCGAGGCTAAATCCTTCCGCCACGAAGTCTGCGAGGACCTGGCCTTTGATGGAGGGACGCGGAGCATACGAGATGTCGTGCTCACTTAATTCAACCGCCCATTTGGTCATCCGTCCGGAGGCGTCAAGACTTCGAAGTATCCTCTTTAGCGGCAGGTTGGTGAGGACCGTGATGGGGTGCCCCTGGAAGTAGGGACGCAGCTTCCTTGCTGCCGAAACGATGGCCAAGACCGCCCGCTCGATGGGCATGTAGCGCCTTTCTGCCGGAAGAAGGGCCTTGCTGACATAATATATGGGATGGTCCGTGCCATCGGCATCTCTCCTTACCAGGGCCGAGCTGACCGCCTGGTCGGAGACCGCCAGATACCAGATATAAGGGTTCTGCTTGGATGGGAGCGCTTAAGACAGGCGGAGTGGCAAGCTGCTCTGTCAGCTGGAAGAAAGCCTTGTCACACTCGGGACCCCACTGTGACCGCGAGGCGGACTTCTTCAACATTTGGAAGAACGGGGAGCACTTGTCGGTTGCTCGGGGGATGAAGCGGCTCAGGGCGGCCATTTTTTCCGTTGAATGCTTGGATTTCCTTCACCGTGCGTGCGGTTTTCAGGTTGAGTATTGCCTCAATCTGTTTGGGATTAGCTCTATCCTCTGTGGGTGATCATGAAGCCTAGGAATTTTCCCGCCTTGGCTCCAAACACGCACTTCAGCGGGTTAAGCCGGAGGTGCTCTTTCCTGAGCGTCTCAAACGTCTCCCTCAAGTCCGGCCAAGTGGTCCGAGCCTTTTTTGCTTTTGACCAGGACGTCGTCAACATAGGCTTCCACATTCCTGCCGAGTTGCTTGTGGAAGACCGCGTCTATCATCCTTTGATACGTTGCCCCTGCGTTCTTCAGGCCGAAGGGCATGACCGCGTAGCAAAAGTTCCCCCATGTGAGTCATGAAGGCTGTTTTTTCTTGGTCTTCCTCCGACAGGCGTATCTGATGGTAGCCGGAGAACATGTCGAGAAAGATCAAGGTTTCGTGATTGGCGGGTCGCGTCGATCAGCTGATCGATTCTGGGGAGGGGGTATGCATCCTTTGGGCAGGCTGCGTTGAGGCTAGTAAAGTCGATGCACATCCGCCATAGGTCCCGACGCCTTGCGCACGAAGACGGGGTTAGCTAGCCACGTTGGGTACTTGACCTCCCTGATGAAGCCCGCTTTTAGCAGACGCTTGACCTCCTCTTCCAGGGCCATTTGCTTTTCAAGCGACGCGTTCCTCCTTCTTTGTTGCACGGGGCGCGCCTTGCTTTTTACGGACAGAGTGTGTTCCGCAAGCTCCCTCGGGACGCCAGACATATCTTCTGACGTCCATGCGAACAGATCCTTAAACTCCCGCAGGAGTGACAGGAGCTCGCGCGCCTGTTCCTCTGCCAGGTGGGCAGCGATTCTGACCTTCTTCTCTGGCTCTTCATCGTCCAAGACGACCGCTACGTCTTCTTCGGCCGCCTCCGGACGGGGGTGGTTTCCCCGCGAATCAACTTGGTCGACCTCCAGGTTTCGGATAGTGGCTTGGTAGCATTCCTTTGCATGTTGGGAGTTGCCCAGGACGCGCCCTACCTTGCCCCGAGTGAGGAACTTGAGCATTTGGTGGCAAGTCGAGGGAACCGCGAAAAGGTTGACAGAAAACCGCGTCCCATAATGGCGTTGTATGCAGATGGGCAGTCCGCTACATGGAAGTCCATGGGCGGGTCTTGGTCGCCCTGGTTTCCCCAATAGTCACCTGGAGGGTGATGGAGCCAAGGACTCTGACTTTAGAGCCAGAGAACCCCACCAGACTGGTTGTGGACGGCTTGAGGTCTTGTATTCCCTTCTTCATACTTTTGAGGGTGGAGTAGAACAGAATATCCGCTGAACTTCCATTGTCGATCAGGGCTCTGGTGACTTTGAACTTCTTCGTTCTGAAGGATATGACCAAGGGGTCATCTCCACAGTCCTCGGGTGCCAGCTCTGAGGGAGCGAAGCCGATCTCCACCTGCTCGCTCTTGTGTACGCTCATGCACTGCACCAGGCGGTCCCCCTCGGTTCGAGGACGTTTACGCCCTCCTGCGATGGTGATGATCTCAACGCCATCCTCTTCCTCCCGCGCGTGATGGCGGGGCGGGGGAGCGTGCCTAGGTGGGGTAGGCAAGCGTTCCCGACGGGGCGTTCGCTCCCTCCTTGGCGACCTGGATCTCCGACGTCTGGGCGTCCGAGATCTCCTCCTCGGGCTTTGAGAGCCTTCTCTTTCTCCTGGCCTCTCTCGGGGATGCGCCCGTGTGTCCAGGCGGCTTCTCAAATCCCCGGGGCCAGGTACTTGAGGCTGGCTCTGAACTCACGACACTCCGCGGTGTCGTGAGTCGGCAGCTGGTGCCAGTCGCACCATTTCTGGTCGTCCTCTCTCTTTTGACGAGGGCGTCTCTCTAGCTTTCCCTTCTTCTCGGCGTCCTTCCTCTTCTTTCTCTGAGGCGAACACCTCGCGCCTTCCGTCCCTGTTGTTGAATCTGGGCTTGTAGCCGCGCCTCTCGGGCGTGCGCCCCCTCCGCCTTGGCGATCCATTCCTTCCTTTCTCGGCTTTGCTTGAGGAGGGCGGCGTCCCTTTTAGGACCTCTTTGGCACCCAGGGCCTCTTCTAAGAGAATGACCTTTCGTACTACGCGGTCCAAGTCTTGCCACGACTTGATGTTGTGTTCCTTTTTTATGAGGGCTCTCTTCAACTCCCGGCTGTGCGTTGACATTCTTAAGTTTCCCGTCGCCACGCTGGTCGAAACATCCTGGATCTCACATGCTATCGTGTTCCATCTATCGTAGAAGTCCGCCAGCGTCTCCTCTTCCGCTTGCTTGCAGTTGATGAGTGCCGAGACCGTGAGCTGTCTCCTTCGCTGGGACGCGAACTTGAGCGAGAAGAGGGTGGCGAACTGTTCAAAGTTCTCTATTATCCCCGCTGGTAGCGACGCGTACCAGCTTCTACACTGGCCGCCAAACGTGACCGGGAACGCCTTGCACAGGTCTGCATCCGAGGCGTTGATCAGCTGCATCTTGAGCATGAATGCACTCAAGTGATCCGACGGGTCGGAGTTGCCGGTGTAAGCGGGCAGACCGAGCGATGAGAAGTTTGATGGCACCTGAGTCTTGAACAGACTTTTCGCCAGGGGGTTGTGCAACACGTTGTATCCCTTGGACTTCCCATAGCAGGGCCGCAGATGTTCTTCGAGGAGGTCGAGGTGGGTGCCCTCTTCGCTCTCCTCGCCTTCAGACCTCCCATCTTCTGTCTGGGACGGGCTAGGTGGAGCCTCCTCTTCCACTCCTTTACCCTTTTCGTCGCGCTTCCTTGAGCTCTCTGGCTCCTCTCGGGTTTTGAGCATAGCGAGGATCTGACTCAGACTCTCCTGCATACTGGTGATCTGTTGCCCTTGGTCTTTCACGCGTTCTTCCATATCCTTTTCTTCTTCGACGGTCGGCATCTCCAAGCCTCTGATGCTTTCTCCGCCAACCACATCTTTCACTGGAGTTCTGAAGTTCCCCTCCATCCTTTCTTCAGTGCTTCGCTCTAGCCCCACGGTGGGCGCCAAATTGTTTGTGCCTAGTAGATACTAGGCGGTTTGTGAAGCTGGAGCGAGGCGCCTGTTCTTGGACTGAGGGGGGCGCTCCGGATACTCTGCAAAACAAGGGTCCAGGGCGGTCGCCCGGGACACTCTCCGAAGCTTAAGTTAGAGAGAGAATGGGGGAGAAGAGAGATTTATGTAGAGAGATGAGTAGTAGTTGAGTTTACCATAAATGAGCTTACTCTGTATTTATACCTGGTTCGAAGGTAGTTGGGACATTAAATGCTATGTCGGGCGCCCTGGGCTGTGGCAGGCGCCCCGATCAGGCTTTTTACCTTTCTGCAGGCCGCCTGAGGTCTGCAATAAATGCTCAGTCTTGCCTGACACCGGATACGCATCTTCAACGGCTCCCTGCTCCTCTGCGTTGCCCAGTCGCTTTATGTCAGACATCCTTATCCGTTTTTCGGGTTTGCGGCCGGTCAAGGACCGCCCGCTGACCCGGTCTTCTGATCGGGCCTGGCCTTTCCTATTGGGCCTTAACTACGGATGCACCCTTCTTGGGCCAGAAGCCCAATTGCGCTCAACTACGCGGCCCAACACTATGAAACCTGAACAACCATCAAAAGTACTTGACATATGCAATCTAGGTATAGAGATGGGTGATCTATGATGGTCTTTCGAATTGGGATCGGAAACGAAGCTTATAGGAGGCATAAACTCTTGCAGGAGAGAGGAGACACAAGGTAGTCCTTCTAAAGCAATATCAAATAGGCATGGGGAAAGGAAGGATGTCGCCTACATATGTCCTTCCTAGTGCGGAAGTAGCCACATACTTCTTAGCATAAGGGTACGCAGATCTCGCTGTACTGAACGAACAACTAGAAAAAAGCTCATAGTCAGAAGCATCTTAAGAAGATAGCTCCAATGTAGTGAGTTAAAACTGAAAAGTGTTCATTGAGTCAAATTTTACTACTAAAGTGAGGAGACCTCCTTCCTTACAGTTACAGATACAGAGAAGATACGACTTAAGAGATAGCTTTCACTTCACTAGGCTCTCAAAGAAAGAGAGGGGTTGTGAGAAAACTTGTCCATTTGACCAATTCCCTACCATGGCTAGAAGCCCATGATAAACCCATAAAGCTACATGCGCATCTGCAGCCTGCAATAATAATCTGCTGCTTTCTCAAGCAGTTTGTACAATACTCCACCCGATGGGCTTCCTTGAAATGGATTTCTTACCTAGTAGTAGTAGGCTAGTAAGCAGTACCAAACCCCAGATACCATTGGGCCTTTGGCCTGCCAGCGTCCCAGTTCCGCGTCTCTCTTTCTCGTGCTTCCCCCTTCTTCTCCCACTCTTTCACTGGTCTTCTTGTTCGTCCAGAAACGAAGGGAATTGCGAATTGCGAAAGCATTTTCGAACAAAATACATTTCTAATCAGAACGCAAAGCCAATTTGCGGACAATGGGTGCAGCTCTCCTCGAGCTCGAGCAAGTCCTCAGATCCCAAAAGGTACTTCCCTCCACCCCTGAAGCTTTTCGCGATCCAAAAGAATAATGGGTTTGCTCTAGTTGAAGCTGAAATTTCGTTTTAATCGCCCAGTAATCATGATCATGTGAGACAAAATTTCCGGAGTTTTCTTGTGTTCCGGAAGCGATTGGTAGGAATGGAGTTGCTGATACGTTTCTGATGTAATCTTGTAGCTGAATTGAGTGTGAATTGGAAAGGGTCATGCCTGAATTTTTTCCTCGAAAGCCGGATAGCAATCCTGATTACCTATAAAGTTTCAATCTTTTTGGGGGATTTTGGCCCATTTTTTTACCGGAACCGGGCCTTGCTGATGAATTCAATTTAACTGTGTTGTTTTCAACTCTTTAGGAGTACTTGACTGCACCAGAAGCACAATTACTCCAAGTGTGCAAGAGCAGTGCTATTAGGGCATTCACCTTTGGTGCATTTCTTGGAGGTTCTACTGCCTGGGCAGGTTTGTTTTCCCCCCTTTTCTCTGGTACCTGTCTCTGAGGTGGTAGAATGATGCCAATGGAAACTCGTGAGCATAGTGATAATGTCATGAAATCATTGGCACCCATTAGTCCAGCTGACATTTGATTACTGTCGTCTGTGAATTTCCAATTATGCGCTGTGCTCTTGCCATAATGTTTGCATTAGCAGGAAACGGGAATATGGTTTTAAGTTTTTTTTTTTTATGAATGAATATGGTTTTAAGTTGGTATTGCTCTACCCATCGTTGTTGATTTTTCCATCTCTTTCGTCTTAAGATGGGAGATGTTTACTCTGTTACTATTTTAAAGTCAAATGTCCTGCTTCAATACCCTTTTCTGATACTTCATAGCATTCTGGCAGTGACTTGGAGGCTGAGTAGGGTGTTACGTGTAAACATCTCCGGTGGTAATCATTCAGCACTATCTTGCAATCTATGCATAAAACCAAACATTCCTCTTTTCGTCTAATCATCATCAATGTGTTTGACCCTTAAATAGGAGCTGCTGCTTTCCTGGGATTTTGGAGATTTGGCCATTCCCTAGAGTCATGTGTTGATCATATTCTTTCAAAGGATGGGAGTCGGTTACAGAGAGAGTTGGCAAATCTGTAAGTCAATGCAATGAGTTATAGTTCTGTAGGGAGACAAACATCTTTGTTATGATTGTATTGTCATGGTTTCTTAGTTATACAGGATCTTGAATTGTTTTAAAATTTTATTTCCCCGCCAATTGACAGAATGGTGAAGAATCACTCTCATATTCCCTGGGCCAAGCAGCTTCTATGCAAACGATTCTACATGGAGACTGTTTATAATGACACAGGGTCGGGCGAAGCCATGCTGAGGTGGCGTCACAGGAATTACTCTGGCGACAGTGAACAAAAGACAGGCAACAGTGATCACCACAAGGATTCTGAGGACAGAAATGCGAATGACCAAGATCACCACAATCATTCGTTGAAGGAAACAGATACTATTAAGAAGGTTGATAATTCGAAGCCAAAGCAAGTTACTGTTACTCCAACAACTGTAAGTTCCTTCGATCAACATAGATTGTTTTGTATCTTTGGGTTTTACGGAGCTCCTAACAAGCTTTTCACCTCATTTCAAATGAACTTGGAGTCTCAGCAAGCTCATATAGCAGAAGACCCTATCAGTAGCATTTTTGGTGGCGTAGCACCACCAGTGGAGGAGATCCATCACCCGGCTACTCCTCCAGGCAGTGGACCTAGAGCAACCCACCGTAGTCACAGACAATCTCACCGCCGTAATAGGCGTAGAATGCGCCTTCATCGAGAATCTACCTTGTGACTTGGAGAGTATGTAGTAACATACATCACTGTCCAGCATCATGATCATCATCGTGTCAGGAGATGCTACTGCACATCCTTGAAGCAGTTCGCTGGCAATGAAAGGACACATAAATAATGTCCCGTAGTGACTTTCTTTTGAGGATGGAGGTCCCCTCTTGTGGGCAAAACCATATTTGTGCAATGTATATGACTATATGGATGACCAAATCAGGACCGTGAAACAGTTTTCCTGACTGATATGGGGAATCTTTGTTTTCACTTTTCTTTTTCTCCAAATAAGTGTCAGCAGTTCATAGTGTAAAGCGTTTTTATTATTGATTTCCCATTTTTCACTTTTCTTCTGGTTTTGGTCTTTTCGTAGGTGAATCATATATGGTTCTTCTATCTACATATGATCAGCTATCAATTTCAGTTGTTTGAGCAGTTTCCAATCGTTCTGACGACTTCATTTTTGATGAGACTCCATCACTCAAGTACACCTACTTCACCTGTTTGTGTGTTCACTGCATGCAAGCAAATCTGGAAATGGCAACAACAGCTTGATTTCTTGCTGCAACCGCTGCTAGCTCCACGCAGCAAGTTGCTGAACAAACAAGTGCAACCCGCAACTGTTTAGTTGGGGCGCCGCTGGTTATGCATGCATATTTCCCATTTCATAACCTGTTTTTCATTGGCGACTAATGGTTCTATATCAATGGAGGAAGAAGCTGATATAGCAATGAACAGGACAAGGAGGAAGAGTAACATCAATGGCATTGGCAGCCGAAATTACCCACAACACGGTTCTTTTTCGTCCCAAGGGGAAGGATCCATGACCATGAATCAATGCACGTTATACGTACAGAGGTGGAATGATCGATGTTGCTCATCATCAGGTCCTGTCCAGGAAACTCCCTGGAACCTTCATCGTTTTGTCACGACTTCATAATTCATAATGAATGCAGGGCAGGCTGCTGTTTTAACATTAACAGTGAAATAAGAAAGAAGACAACAGTACTGCTGCATTAAACGAGTGGATTATGAACAGGAAGAAACCCATACTTTGTTCGGACACTTTGTTTAATTTACTGGGATTAGTACTTTGACTTTATCTTGATGTGAAAGTAGTTAGACCATCTCGCAAAGTGTCAAAATTTTGGGTTAAATTCAACATTCTAACTCTCATCGAAATGGTTTTTGCTCTAATGAAAAGAACCGAAGTGCGAAATTCTCCGATTTTAATTTTTTGTTCTAATCTACAAAGAGACAGATCCCACATTAATTGTAATAAACAAGAGTGAAGTAATCATACTTGTATTAACTCAAGTAAGGAAATAGATATTAGAAAATGTTTTAGTTCAACTAGTGTGCAAACTTTGGGGCCATTATTCCCTATAGGTCGTATAACGAAATAATATGAGTTTCCTATTCGGTCAATTCATTTGATTGGATGGAGAATTTGTTGTGTCGATCCTTGGATGGCTCTTTCGTTCATCTCTTCATCACATAACAAATGAAATGAAAGCAACCTTTGTAGAGTGACCAAAGTAAAGTAAAAGATTCCATGTCTAGCCTCTCTATTTTGATTTTTGAATACTATTTTACAAATGAGACATATCTTATCGGATCAAACCAATTCAATTCCATCACATGCTTTTATTTTGGTTTATAAGATTTTAGTATGAGCTATTTTCTATATTGAACCGTTTGTCCCGCTAGATCTAAAGTTTTTGAACATTAATCATGTAAGTGTTATTTATTTTTTTCATTTTTACCAATTGCTATTCACTTAGAAGACACAATTCAATGAATAAATGATTTTATTAGTTTATTGCGTCCTTGATCCGTTTCTAGTCTACCGTATAAGTTTCATCCAAACATATTAGCAATGAGGTAATCTCAACCTCGTGCTCCAAAATGATAGATACATTGTAAAAATTGAAAGATATTTGTGATTAATAGTATGATGATTAATAAAGAGGCAAAATATAAATTGATTACGTATAAAGATATTTAGTTATCCGTACAACACATGCTTATTAATAAGTTTATCTTAATTAGTTTGATTAATACGGTTGGGATTGTCATGACGTTCAAACAACCAAGTAAAATAAATTAAAAAAATAGTACTGGAGGTTTATATCGAAAAAGATAGTGATTACTTTGTACTAAAATCGTAATTTAATTGTAGTTCAACCGTGTAATATCGTTAAATCATCTACCTTTTAAAGTACAATATCGGATATTTTAGATCCGATTTACGGTTTCTTAAACATTAGTGAAAACCTTCCAAGTTTCCAACAGTCACACATCGGATTTAATCAAAGACAACATAGGATAAACAATGCACATAAATATCAATGGACCCATATTTTTCCTGGAGCAAAACAAAGAAGATAGGGGACAAATTGAAAGGTGGCATCGGCCGTAAATTAGATGAAGAAAAGAGGGTAACAACCAAGGTTGTCAAACCGGTTTATACCGTTATGCCGGTTTGGCAAGTAGAATGGTACGACTAGTGGTATAATCAGTTTGTGCCGGTTCATGCCGGTTTAAAAAAATGTGAAAACAATTAATATCCAATATATTTAATCATATATAAAACATATTTGTGAATAATTTAGTTACAATCCAACAAATATCATCAACTTTTAACTATTACATTCATAAAATGAATAATAAATTAATTTTTTTATTCATTAAATTCATTAAAATGATGTCATTAAACTTAGAATGTATAATTCGATCATACCGGTCATACCGGTGATATCATACCGATTTCATGACCGGTACAGGTTCAACCAGGTTCAACCTCGCCAGTCGCCACCGGCATGACAACCATGGTAACAAGTAACAACTAATAAGTAACCGAAGCACAATCTCCTTCTTTTTTTTGAGGGAAAAAAAAAAAAAAAAAAAAAAATAAAGAGGATTGAGAACGAACCGTGAAGGGCTGAAGTCCAGACTCAATCTCTCTTCTAAGTTCTATCCCTGTGTTCTTCTATGGACAGCAAGCTTTTCTTTTCCTAATCATCGAACCCATCTCCCACCCCCATGCCCGTATAAACCCCCCCTTCTTCCATAAATTTCCATTGCCCATCTCTCCAATCTTTCTCCTATCGCTAAGCTTTTGCTTCTCCGGTAGGTTTTTTTCATTCCCTCGTTCCCTTCCTTCCCACCCTCAATTTTATGTTCCTCAATTCGACTTTCTCACTGCAAAACTGCAATCTTCTGGCGATTTCGGTTCGGACCCATCGCCAGATTTCCCAATCTCGCATCGGGAGAGCGTCGCTCCTCGTATTACTGCTGGTTATCGTCGCTGCTGCCGGAGACGGCAACAATTGCAGTGACCCGAGAGGCCCAGGAGAGCAGAACCCAGAAGGCGGTGCAAGCGGTGGAAGCATCATGAAGGTTCATCCTATGCCCAATAGGAGGAACAACATAACAATCCGGTATTATGTAAACCACGGCGGCGGCGGGAACAATCAGAGAGGAGGCGGGGGAGTAGGAGGAGAGCTAGCCACCGCCGCTGCTGGCGGTAACAAGAGGCTGAGGAGGCTGCCCCACATTTTCAATCGGGTCCTGGAGCTGCCGTTCCGGTCGGACGCTGAAGTGTTGGTGGAGGAAAGCACCGATTGCTTCCGATTCGTGGCGGAGGCGGACGATGTCGGGGAAGTTAGGGCTCACACCATTGAAATCCATCCCGGGGTAACGAAAATCGTGATTCGGCCCAATGGGTACCTGGAATTGCCGACGTTGGATGATTTGGAGTTGGACATGTGGAGGTTCCGGCTGCCGGAATCGACCCGACCCGATCTAGCCAGCGCGGTTTTCACGGACGGCGAGCTGATCGTGACGGTGCCCAAGGCGGAGGAAGAAGGTAATAATAATGGCAGCAGGGACTTTAGAGGAGGTATGGGAAACAATAATAACAATGCTAGGCTTGTGCTTGTACAGTGAATGAATGGAATGGAATTTGCTAAGATAAAAAAAAAGGTTCCCTCTTTGCCTTTGCTCTTCCCTTGTTTTCTTCTTTTTTGGGTTAATGCTTCCATTTGAATCACTGTTATCAACAGATCCCAAGTTTTAGCCCTTGGAGGTGTTCTTCTGTGGTTGAGAGACTAGACTTTGTAATGCTTAGCTTTTTTACCATATTGAATGAACCAAGTAAAAGGTTTCATTCCACCTTCTGTTCTCGAAATGTGGTTGGTTGAGCAAATGGCATTGAAGATGGGGAATGGTGTTTGCTTGTTTCGTGGTGTGTCTCCGGTTGTTCTGGTGAAGAGTCTCATGCTCACATTCGTTGGTAGAGACATAAGACATGGTTAGGTTGTGCATTCGTTTGTTTAAACTGGGAATCTAGAGAGCATGTCATGTCTGCTTGCTTTGTTGCTGGAAAAAATGCTTTACTCTTTCGTGGTGACTACGAATATATTCTCAGGCACTATCTGTATCTTTTGCTAAGCCTGCCTATTCTAATTCTAGGACCCTGAGCCTTGTAGTTGTCTTGTAGTTTGGCATTAAAGACCCTCGAGCGGGTAGCATATGAATCTTAAGGGAAGAATAATCTAAGATCAAAGCATTGTTATTGACCAAGCTTTTTCTGATCCACTTGTGCTTGAGTGAGTGTTCACCAACTTTTCTCTTTGGGAGCTCTTTTTGTTCTGCCCGTTTTTTCATTATGGGCACTTTTTTGTAGTGATCTATGACCTGCTTTTCTTTCCCATCTCATCATTAGTGACCTAATCATGCATACTAAAAACCATGATCTCATTTGATCATATGAAACTGAATGAAGCAATCCACCCCGCCATAGTGGATATATGATGCCCTCAACCTTGAATCCATTCTTAGAATCTTAAAGTTCCGTACTCCATGTCTAGCGACTAGCATGCTGATGGGGAAGAATTTACTTACCAGTTCAGTGCACCCAAATGATAGAGGCACAGTTTTTTTTCCTTTCCTAAAACAGTTGTTCATGTTGTTGCGCTATATGATCCATGGTTATCTAAATCAAATATTATGATGTTGTGTTCCATTGAACAATAGCTGCTGCTGCTGCTGCATCCTACTTCATTTTTGAGAGAACTGTAGTTTCTGTCTTTGCTTCAGGATTAGGCGCGTTATCCAGTAGATTTCTGCATTGATTGAGGTAATGGTTTATGGGTTGTGGAATTCTGCGTCATCCGCAGTAGAATTCTGCATTGATTGAGCTAGGAGATATGAATGGAGCGTGGCAGAGTGAGGTGTGAAAGTTTAGCAGTATGTATGTGTGTATATTTGAGATAAGGGCTGGAGATTGAATGAAGAATAGAATAGATGCTCGCCCAAAGCAGTCGTCGTGTACCGAGAGAATGAGACATCCTCTCAGTAGTCAGCATCGTGCAGAAGAAAGTGATTCCTTACTGTATGGCGTTTGCACTGCAAATTGTTTTCCGTGTAGCCGACTTCATATGCCGTGTAAGTGTTTTCCGTGGTCCTCTTTCGGATTACTGAAAAGGGGCAACCTTTTCCGGGAATCCACAGCTGCTTCACAACACCAACGTTGGCCCTAATTCTGGTCTGTCCCAGTCTGGAATTCAGACCTGAGTCCTGACAGTGGCAATCTTTTTGGATGGTGGTGATTTGGGAGTAATCATGTCGAAATTGAGTTCTTACTTCGAAACAGATGGTACTCCTTTGCGTCACACTCTCTTGATTCCATTTTGAGAAGTTGGGTTTGATCATTTTAAGCCAGGGAAAAGGACAAATTCCAAAAAAAAAGACCATTTTTTAATCTTTGATAATTTGACTCAAGGATTGGTTAAGTTTCTTCGTGGAATTTGGAGCATATCGCATTCAAAGAAACAAGTTTCGTGATAATCTCATGCTTCATCGTACAGTCGTTTAATGTGGTTTTCTCTTTGACAACTAGGTTGGAGGATAGTAATATAAAATTTTCTTTGATTGAGATTAACGATTAGTACTACAACTCAAAGCCAACTGCAATAACAGTAAGTAATGAAAAACCCTAATAATTCAATAGAAAACCATTATGATAAACCTAATAATCACTTAAACAAACAAAAAATATCTTTAGCTAATCAAAATTATGATTAACCCAATCATCATTCAAAAATAATGAAGTATGTCGTTAGTGTTACTTGAACCATGATTAATCTAATAATCACCTGAAAGCAATAATAGTATTTCATAAGGTTACCGTAAGTCTGAAATCATTATTTATTAAAAATCATCCAAAAGCAATAAAACTATAAAGTATATCTTAGGCTTACCAAAATAATCATTATACCTAATAATCATCGACAAGTAATAAATGTATATCCTAGGGTTATCAAATTATGATTACCTAATAGTCACCCGAAGCCCGAAGGCAATAAAAGTATCTCTTAGGATTTACCAGAATCTTTACCTCATATTATCCAATTTGTAATATTTTGATGCATTACAAAAGATTTGGCTAATTATTAGTAATTAAAAGTATCTCTTAGGGTTTACCAGAATCATGGTTTACCTCATATTATTCAATTTGTAATATTTTGATGCATTATAAAAGATTTGGTTAATTATTAGTAATTCAGTATGTTTAATTTGGCTAATAGTTAATATTTATCCAAATTATAATTAATCTAATAATCACCCAACTACAAAGTCACTTGTTGAAATTTAAACAAATATTTTAGGTGATTGTCCTAATCCTACATGATATAATACAAGAGAAATTTTACAATGCTATATAGTATTGGTGCTATAGGATTATGCCTTTATGGTACAACTTAAAATTGTACATGTACGTTATGGTACAACTTCAGATTGTACCTATACTTTTTGTACAAATTCTTTTATGGTACAACTTGAACTTGTACCTTTATGTGATGGTACAACTTCAAGTTGTAAAGTTGTACCATAACACAATGGTACAACCTAAACTTATACATTTAATGTTATGGTACAACTTTAAGTTGTACATTAAAGCACCAATACTATATAGCATAGTAGAAGTGCTCTATAATACAAATATAATGTATTAGAGTGCTATTTTTTATCCAAACTTTCACGAAAGATAATCATAAGGGTCAACGGGAGAAAAAAAAAACGAAATGATATTACCAACAAAAAAAAAAAAAACGAAATGACAGATATTTTACTCACTGAATTCCCAGCATTAGGCATTTAGGCTATTTCTTTGCTTGCTCCCATCTTTCGCGATTGAACAAATCAAAGAACTCAGAAGGCTCTTCTTCAGAAAATGAAATGAAATCGCAGATAGAGTTTGGCTACGAAGGAAAGTTCTGTCCCACGGAACAAGCACAATAAACCACACAAAGCAACTTGTTCTGCAAAGAAACTGAAACTCCATTGACCAAAAACCAAGTTGGTAAAAGTTGATGCTCTATATCCTGTAGTCTATCGCGCGCTCAAGAAGATTCGATTTCTAACTCTTACACGACTTTGTCATGTACATTTGCAATGCACTCTATCTAAACTAATGTCTCTAGCATGAACACAGTCGAAACCAAAATCGTCCCTTTTCCAGAAATAGCCAGAAAGTCATATGGCTCCAGTAGATAGAGCCTGGTGAATACCCAAACCCAGAAAAAGAAACAAAGAAACCCGAATATGAAAACTTTCACGAACCTGTGAAACACTAACACAAGCATATCACCTTCACGATGGCACACCATTGCTTGGTTTCTTCTCAACTGCCAAGCCAAAATGTTCCATGAGAATGCGTTTGGAGGTCCTCCCAAAACCATTGGCCACTCTTTTCATATGCTCGAGTTTCTTTCTCTCGCAATTTATCTGATCTATCCTGCTAGTCACTGTGCTCCGCAATTCACCATCACCCGTCGCCTCTAAGTTCAGGCATGCTAGTCCAGAATGCTCTTTCTGAAGTTGTTCATAAAGGTTTTGCAGGTTTCTCTTCTTAGCATGGAGTTGTTCTTCTGCAAGCTTGAACTCGAGCTCTTGCGACTCTCGCAGTGCATGGAGCACATCGTTGATCTCAGCATCAAGTTGGAGAATTTCAGTGTTGTAATCAGGAGTTTTGGCTTCCAAATCAAGAAAGGGTTGCTTTTTGTTCATGTCTATGTCAAAAGACCAAAGTAAAGACACATGCAATAAGAATTCAGGCAATAATTTGAAGATAGAGCATCAGACTAAGAGAGGATAAGCCAGAAGAAACATGTCAAATGGATCAGAAGAGAATTTACCAGATGCATCATTGTCTGCTTTCCATACATCTTCAAGGGTAGTCCCATGACTAAGCTGGAGATGTTAAAATGAAATTGTTAATTCATCTATAAAAAGTAGAGTGAAAAAGCTACTATAACCTTTTTCTGCCATAAAAGAAAAGGCCTTTTCATATTACTGCCAAAAAAAGCTGAATTCTTTTTATAGGGCATCTGCATCCTGTTGTTATAGGAATTGCACAAGCCATGTTGGCAGCTACATGGCACTTGCAATTGCAATTTTATGTATGTGGATGCAATGCAATTTCAAGTACGAAAGCTTGCTAATACAGCAATTGGGTTTGCAATGTCACTAATTGAAAATGCAGATCATTATGGCGATGCATATGATTAAACAAATTGCCAAATTGAGTGGTTGTTAAGATTGTCTATGCGATACTTGAAATGACAAATTAACTGCAAGGACGGAAATAATCTTACATTTTTGGCAGCCAATTGAATACGCTTCAGCAAATCCCTGGCATTATTTCTCTGAGATCCACGCAAGATGCAGATGCCAAGATTTAATATTTTCGCTATCTCATCTCGAGAATCCATGAATTTGCAAGTTTGTAAAAGCTTCACAGCATGTGGAACCAGATCAGTCTTTGCATCACAACGCCGGCAAAAGTACTCAGCATCAAGACCAATACTTCCGCCAACAGTTCCTGCCATGTAAGTTCTCAGAGCACATTCAATGTGGGCTACATGGCCACATATGCACCCTGGGCTCAACACTGATTGGCACTTTATGTAATTGTAAGCACCATGTGATGGAGTAATGATTTTGGAACAGAGAATACAACAACAATCACGACAGAAACCAGGCTCCATACAGCAAATATCACAAGGTACTGAAGGTACAGGAGGACTACTTCCTATTGCTTCTTCAAGACTACTGCAACCCTTATTTCCTGCCTTACAGCCTCCATGGGATTGGGGATCACATGCTAAAGTAGCTGAAGGGGGCACAGGAAAGGCACCGCTATCAATGTCTCCTGTAATAGTTAGAGAAGGATTCCTATTCGCAAGTCCTGTAAATAGGAGAAGACAGAAAAGAAGAAAATCAAACGAAATATAGCCCACCACAAGCTGCCTAGCCAAGACTTGATTACCATATATTACAGAAAGGTAGAAAATACTCTCCGATATTAGTAGCTCATTAACCACAAATGCTATCTACTTAAACGGGCTACCATGCTACGTCGCAACAAATGCAACATAACGGTAAAAAATAAATTTACTCGAGTACATTGGTACTGTCTAAATTACAGTACAGTTGTTGAACCTAAAGCCATTAACATTCCCTTCATACATTCTCTTTTGGCATGTGGACTTCTTGAATAGGATCGAAATCCGTACAAGGAATGAATGTACAACACAAACAGGGACCAGACCATGAGCATAACACATACAAGTTGTAGTTTGTACGGGAATGTACCATAGAAGGTACACAATTTTCATTGCAAGGTAATATACTTCTCTATTTGGCAGCACTTGGAAGCCACTTGAAGTATCTTCTTGTTCCTATACTTGAGTTTTGGAAAAAGGTCGAGATAATTACCCTTAATAGGACACATAAGGTGAAACTAGATCAGGCTAACTATCATTTCATGACTCGAAGATTAAATTTATGCATAGATATGGCACCATTAAAGCTAAGTGCAGTTCCAAGCTAAAGACCAGGACTTCTGTCAATGCGAGTAGCACAGGGATACACATAACATTACAAGCACAACAAAATAAAGGCAGACCACTGAGAACCAGTTAAGAGAGGCACCAAAATTTATACAAGCTGTATGAAGAGAGAACTCACTGATCATGGAGGCCTGGTTAGAAGGGATCCTCCAGACGAAGGAATCAAAGAATGCCTCAATATCAGCCTTGGGGAAATGCGTTTGAAGGAATCTCCGAACAGAAAGCTTGCTTGCGAAACCGTTCTTCACACGAGCAGGAGCGCCCACAAGATGGCAAAGGCTTTTGGGGAGGTAGAGGAACCTGTCCTGATGACACCCAGAGTAGGTTAGTCGTTTCCCAACTTTCCAACCCCACATGTCTCCAGGATTCGGCCAATTCTCAGGAGCATAAGGCAGCCCTTCACCAGCCTCATCACATGGAACTGGCCTCAGACGGAAGCAAGATCCTTTCGTTTTAGATGACGTATTTCCTTTTCCCATCTCGTCAGTTTCCATTGGCTCCTTCCCCATGGAGATTATCCTAGCCGGGGTATCAGTTCAGGATTAAAAGAACACAAAGAATCCCAGGTTTAACATAAAGACAATGGCTCTTATACCGAGTTTTCATGATCAGCAATTTAGTTCCAAATTCAAGGGGCATCTAAACCCAAATAACACAAAACAAATAGAGAAGAGAAAAGAAAAGAAGAGCAGTCGGAGCGTTACCGGAGTCCTTCTGTTCAGAGAAATGGAAGGGAGGAATTAGGGTTCCGACAAAAATCACAGTGAGGGGAATGGAATGCGGTCGCTCGAGGAGAGTGAGAAATGAAAGGGTCCGAGTGGGCTTTGGCAGCAGAGAAGGTAACGGTAGCAAGGGAGCCCGGAATAATTTGACGGCGGGGAAGCGGCGATTGAAGCTTAATATACAACATTTGAGTTGCCGTAATTGGCAAGTTAATGAATTGGGAGTTTGGAACCCTAAATGCGCTCAGTGACAGTTCAGAACACCCAGGCCAGTAGGGATGGCAATGGGGCGGGTTTGGGGCGGGTTTGCCTAAACCATCCCCATCCCCGCTTTCAAATATCTATACTCATACCCGCCCCATACCCATGCGGGGGAAGGTTTTGCAAAACCATCCCATACCCATGGGTTTCGGGTACCCATGGGTAATACCCGCCCCGTACATCCACCATTATAATACGGAATATTTTACATGTATACTTTCAATTATAACATTAAACGCACCTACTATATCATGAAGTTTACAAAGAGACAATCATTTTTAATACGGTTCAAAGCATCTTATCCTAAAGCATCCATTAATCCATATCATAGTAGAGTACAATGTCATTCAAATCATTATTCTCTACTGTGATACATCTATTAAGTAATAATTAACTAACATAATCTTGTTACAAGGGGAAAAAGTGAAA